ATTGATGGCTGTCAGTAAAGTTACTTTTGCAGGCATCCAGAATATGTGTCGAGATTTGAAGCCAAGAGATATTTGTTTATATTTTTATATAAAATGATTTGATTCATATAAGTTAGTAATAAAGAATAAAGTTATTTTATAGTACAGTACAGTGTCAAGCAATCTGGATCACAGACTTTGTTGGAATTGTTTTTAAATTTGGATATTTTCTTTTGGCTTCAAGTTTTAATATAAATTTAGGTAAATACCACTGACATGAGCATTCAAGACACTAAATTGAGAGTTTCCATCAACTTTATCTAAATTTTTTGCTGCTTTTGTTATTCCAAAAATATTCTCAACTCATCAACTGTTTTAGTTTACAGGTTGTGGGTGATACATTTGCACTAAGATTTCCTATTGTCTGTCATGCCATATGTGTTACAGGTACTACAGTATTGAAAAACATCTTGGATGATAACTCATTCCCTCAGTCATGCCATTCTTCAGTTTACTTGTTGATTTTATTTCAAAACCTCTGTGCACTATTACAGTGTCATACATCATCAATATGATTTTCTAAATAACTTTTTTTTTTCTTACCAGTTATCCTTCATTTGAGTGTTTGTTTTGTTTTGTTCGGTATTTGTACCAGTTCCTAAGAATAATATGGCTTAATCAGAATTGACCAAAGTTTATCATGGGTGGGTAAACTCTGCTTAAGAGTTTCTTGATTATATATCATTGAATATGTGTCATCACTAGATGAAGTGTTGCTCACTATATTCAAGTCTGTCAAATAATTGTGACTAGTGAAGTTGTAATTCCAGTTCTTTGTAAAGTTATTGTCGTGTCTATAATTACAGAATTATTGAATTAATCCAATATACAGTACGTACACTGTACATCATCTACTGAATCGGTAGTCTTCTTGTTTGTTTATTAAGTTTTCAAGCTTCCATATTTAAAATTTATTGTTTCAAGTACAGTGTATTATCATTTAACTTGAATACAGCAGTGAGTTCTTTCTATTATAAAAAAATTTCTGCCAATCATAGGAGGTACAGTAGAGTACTTTATCTTGCTGTAGACATTGAGACCCCCATCATGTCATCTTGAAGCTCTCTGATGTTTTCACTTAATAATTCCAAATGAAATACAGTATGGCATGACAGTACAGTAATACAGCATACTATTTGATTATTTTTATTGTTTTTGTAAATACAGTTCATTAATTGTAAGGAAAGATACAGTAGTTAGATTAATTATTATCCCTTTTTTATGTCTTGACAATTGTCATAATATTTTTAGTAAAATCTTGACATAATCCACATGTTAATACAGTGATCACTAATACCTAGAATATGGTGAAAGGTTTACTGCTGTTTATTCCTGATACCACCATTTAAATTTCTGCTAAGTCACAAAACAATGTTCACTGCTATTGTTAAAACAATTTCCAGGTGAGATTTCATGACACCTTGTATTAAATATTCTATTTAACTTTTCAACATTAATTTTCTTGTGTAGTTTATACAAGTGATCGTGGGCCCTTCGTGCCCGGTGGCGAGTCCGTTGGTACGGTTTACCGAGGCGTGAAAGTTCGAACGCTCGTGCTTGGCTAGCGTTCAACCGCCGTCCGACTGACAGCGTACAGTGACATCATTTTCCAGATGGTCGTGGTTATTATAATCATGGTCGTGGTTGTTATAATCATGGTCGTGGTTGTTATAATCACGGTCGTGGTTGTTATAATCACGGTCGTGGTTGTTATAATCACGGTCGTGGTTGTTATAATCATGGTCGTGGTTGTTATAATCATGGTCGTGGTTGTTATAATCATGGTCGTGGTTGTTATAATCATGGTCGTGGTTGTTATATTGATGGTCGTGGTTGTTATAATCATGGTCGTGGTTGTTATAAGCATGGTCGTGGCTCATGGGCGTCCGCAGGGAGGGGCAAGGGGGGGCATTTGCCCCCCACCTTGGAAAATAAAAAATTTGAAAAAATTACATGGAAAATACAAAATGAATAAAATAACAAACATTTCTCAACAGTTCATTCAGTTAGAGCAGGTTACTACTCTTGGAACAGGAATTGGAGCCGTCGGGGATCTCTTCCGAAATTGTCAATGATGTCTTCACACGTCGAATTCAGGATAACATTGCCCCCCCCTGCATTTTTTTTGCGGACGCCCATGTCGTGGTTGTTATAATCATGGTCGTGGTTGTTATAATCATGGTCCTGGTTGTTATAATCATGGTCCTGGTTGTTATAATCATAGTCGTGGTTGTTATAATCATGGTCGTGGTTGTTATAATCATGGTCGTTGTTGTTATAATCATGGTCCTGGTTGTTATAATTATGGTCGTGGTTGTTATAATCATAGTCGTGGTTGTTATAATCATGGTCGTGGTTGTTATAATCATGGTCGTGGTTGTTATAATCATAGTCGTGGTTGTTATAATCATGGTCCTGGTTGTTATAATTATGGTCGTGGTTGTTATAATCATAGTCGTGGTTGTTATAATCATGGTCGCGGGTTGTTATAATCATGGTCGCGGGTTGTTATAATCATAGTCGTGGTTGTTATAATCATAGTCGTGGTTGTTATAATCATGGTCGTGGTTGTTATAATCATGGTCGTTGTTGTTATAATGATGGTCCTGGTTGTTATAATTATGGTCGTGGTTGTTATAATCATAGTCGTGGTTGTTATAATCATGGTCGTGGTTGTTATAATCATGGTCGTGGTTGTTATAATCATAGTCGTGGTTGTTATAATCATGGTCCTGGTTGTTATAATTATGGTCGTGGTTGTTATAATCATAGTCGTGGTTGTTATAATTCATGGTTGTGGTTGTTATAATCATAGTCGCGGGTTGTTATAATCATGGTCGTGGTTGTTATAATCATGGTCCTGGTTGTTATAATCATGGTCGTGGTTGTTATAATCAGTGAAGTGGTTGTTATAATCATAGTCGTGGTTGTTATAATCATGGTCGTGGTTGTTATAATCATGGTCGTGGTTGTTATAATCATAGTCGTGGTTATGATCATAGTCGTGGTTGTTATAATCATGGTCGTGGTTGTTATAATCATGGTCGTGGTTGTTATAATCATGGTCCTGGTTGTTATAATCATGGTCCTGGTTGTTACAATAATGGTCCTGGTTGTTACAATAAGGGTCGTACCTGAGACTAACACAGGTAGAATAAACCCCACACCTTATCTTTAATCTCAATAAACCCAGATTAACCTCCCCTAATCAACAGGATTAGAGACCATTAGGATTGTACCACCAATACCGATACATTTCACACTGGATTAATAACAAAACATTTAATCACATTTCCAATAGCTAATGTCTAACAGATATCTTATCAAGTTGTGAGGCTTACATGTCTATATAATTATGTTTTATTCTTACAAATATTTATAGTTCGTTGTGTATTGTATGGTATGGTATGGTATGGTATTGTATGGTATTGTACTGTATTGTATCCGGCTGACAGCGCATAGCGAATGAGGGTGCAGCAAGTCCGTAGACTTGCATGGTTAATTAGGGTGCGCCAAGTCCGTAGACTTGCTTCGTTTTCCATCGTAAATAAAATGGTTAATTAATGCCTTCCTAAAGAAACCATCGACATGGGACCAGGTTGTTCCACTCTTTGAATTTTTTGCGATTTTTCCACCAAGTTTGATGAAAAACGATTGTGCCATTTCGGCTGCCCAGAACAGACAGACAGCTAGTCCTATAGTAGTATATTAGATGCACAGTAGACCCTTGCATTTATGCCCTTTATATAGGATAAATTTACATTAACACAATGAACAAGACATAAAAGATATCTTCTATTTCTTGTTGGACTTTCAACATACAGTACAGTGTGTTTACCATGCCACATTCTTATGCTGGGGTGTAGCCAAGACAGGCAGGCAGCTGAATATAAATCAGTATAGCCGTGTGATGAAATCTCTCTTCCTATTTCACAGTGTCATATTTTGAGTGAATAATGCTGGCTGGAACATCCCACTGTTGCCAATTTGGTTATTCTATCTCCAGAGCTGGAGATTTATAAATTTCCCTGCTGGTCTATGTTTAACCACATTGAAAATGCCAAGAATTATCATCAATTCATTAATATTTTGATATTCATTGAGACTCGGCTTGCCTGGCCGCCACCTGCCCAGGCCAGCTGAGTCAGGCGAACAGCCAATAAAGAATACCAATGTGTTTAATGCAATACCAGTGTGAGGATTTTATTAAACAGCATCAGCTCACTTACCTGATAGCACCAGCAGATATGTGTTTGAAAGATGTACACAAGTGTTACATGGGTTCTGAGTATGAATTAAGATATCCTTATAAATGGCTCTGGATACATATTAAAAATGTGTATGTGGGGATGCGAGTTGTTGGGGAATTTCAGTGGGGTTGGAACACTAACGTCTTTTTTTCCTTTGGGTGACATTGGTCATTTAGTGTGGACCACATACACTTTAGTAGGGCTTATTCCAGAGCTCACTGCCATAACTAATGAAAGAATCTACTCTATTTCATGATTTCACATTTCCATAAATTCCTTATGAAAAACCTTGCATATAAGTAAGGGTCTACTGCATGTGGCATTAAAATGAAATCACAATGAATAGATTATTTAAACATGGACTTGAAGCAGATCAATAGATACTAAAAAGACATCAAAAGTTCACATTACTCATTGCTTTCATTGTTAAATACAGTACAGTACAGAATTAAGGTGATCACTATAATAACATAATTGAGTCATTCTACTCGTGTACAGTTTGAGATTGGTTAATTTGGTAGTTTTGTTAAATCCAACAATCATAAAAGCATTTTACATCTTTAACTCACATCGGGATGAAGTGTGCTGGTGGTCAGTTATTTGTTGTACATGTCTCTGTGAGGTCAGAATCCTGAAGTCTGCCATTAGTCTTTTTCTTCCCCCATTCTAACAGTTCACTCAGATATTATCCTTCCTACTAATCTCTTTCAGACCTGATACAAATGAAACGAG